ACTTATTACATTTTTACACAATTATCTGTACTTTATACTCCTTACAATTTAAAAAGACAAGCAGTAGAAAGTCGTTACTTTTATTTCATTTTTGCTTGTTTTCATTCCAGCTTGTTATTGTAAAAAAATAAATACTATCCATATAAACTGTCTCTCCTAGATAGAGTTAATTTAATTGTGGTTGAATGAGAAGTATAAATATATAAAACTCTGGTACTGTATTAGTTTGTACACAAACAAATCATGTCACAATCCAGCAGGACATACTGTAATCATTAAAATAAAAGGACTGTACTTAAGAAGTATTTGTATTTCATGAATTATATTATTGCATTTGGTTGCAGCCCTCAGATAGATTTTCATTTTGAAGAAAATGTTTGTGCAGTCATGATATATGTATTTAAACTGAAACAGCTGGACTGGTGTATCCTAAATTTAACTAGCCTGGCCCTTGCCTTCCTACGCAGCTCCGCTCAATTCTAGTTTCCCTTCTCTGCTCCTTGTACGAAGCAAAGTGAAGGACAGGGTCTGGTTTTAACCAGGCTAAAATTTAACATCAATTAATTATTTTATACAACAGTCATTTCTGTAGTTTTTGGGGAGGTCACCTCCTAATAAATGTCCTTACAGAAAATCTAACTGCTCATTTTAAATCAGTACTTTTACTTTTAATACTTAAGTACAAAAAACTTCAGATACTTTAAGAGTTTTACTCAAGTAATATTCTTAAAGAAGACTTTAACTTTTAACAAAGTCATTTTTTGATAAGATACTTGTACTTTTACTCAARTATCACTTTGTGGTACTTTATAAAACACTGCTTGATACCAAGCTACAGATACAGCTTACTAAGTGAGTTAGTACCTAAACATTACACAATGACTTTAAAAACACTTTTTTTAATTTAGAACAAGGTGGCTCTCCTTCCTTATAGACTTAAGGCCCCTCTGACTGGATCAACTTAAATATAAAGCCTGACACTCTTACAGTTTAAAATAAATAAAAATAACAAAAAAGATTTTCTTTCAACCAGTAAAACTTTCTTGAACATGGAAATGACAACCTTTTTACTTAAAATGTAAACTAAAATTCAATGTATTATCAATAGCTGTACTGGTATTGAGTCTAAGTATTGAGGCATTTTGTACAAGTACTTGTAAAATGCTGGTATCGGGACACCACTATCACAAGGTGGCATGTTTTGGTAAATTAGGCTTTACACTCTAAAAAATACAATGACTTATACACATGTATGTTTTGTAGGCTGTAATAAAATGCAACTCAAAAAAATGTCAACAAAGTTAAACTCACGGCAGAATGTTTCTGTTCTCCAGGATTGTATGGCGAYTCCTTTACCCTGACAGGCAGACGCATACACTTCTACAGCATCACACACTGATCCATGATGGCCGTGGTACTGACAGACATCATAAACACAGTCCTCCATATAAGGAGCGGGGTCAATGTTTTTGTGACACTCTCTGAAGGGCCCCGTTTTGTCAGCGATGATACCACAGTACTGTGTGGCCTCGTACACCTTCTTCTGGGAGTCTGAACAGGCCTGGCACCACGGGCCCTGACAGACTGAGGAACAGCCCGGTGCAAGGCCCACCTGCCAGCTCTCCCCCAGCTTGGTGCCATCAGGGGCAGGTTTGCCGTTCTGCATGGTCAGATCATCCTGAGCGTTCCCGTTGTAGTTGCCGCACAGGCCGCCGACGGCGTTCTGGTAGCTGCTGGGCAGAGCGACTGTCACCGTGCTCTGCCAGTCGAAGCTCACAGTAATTCCAGCTGCTGTCTCCACTACAGCTGTTTGGCCACTTCGAAACACTTTCAGCTCATTATTAGAACCCAGAGGCAACGAGACGAGCTGATCGTTTAGCTGAAGAGCAGAGAACGAGGGGAATATTTTCACAAGATTATGAATTTTAATAATTACGCCGGCCTTGCTAATCCATTCTAATGTGCAGTTAAATCTAAGCCTAATTAAGACTGTCTGGATTTAATTTTTAATGCGAAACGTACAACAGAAGACGTGAAATGGCAAAATTAGCACACTAAAGAAATGATCCACTCATTTGAATTAGGTAGAAAATATCTGTCCCCATTTTTCTTTTCAATGCTGTCCTAATTTTCATCTTTCTATAAATGTCCTTCAAAAGCAGATTAGTCTTTGCTGTACCTCCACATTAATACTTACCAGGACCTTGTAGGGGTACTCTCTGCTGATAATGAGAGTGGCACCATAAATGGAAATTGYGACAGTCTTTGTGTAGGCCACGGCCTTGTTTCCCCGGTTCTCATTCTGCACGGTGACTTTGAACGGCACCAGCCCCGGCTTTTCCGAAGAAAGACCGGCCAGCTGATAAACGCACGTGCCTTGGAAGTCGAACTTGCGACCATCAAAAGTGCGGTAGTGCGGGTCGCCTGAAGCCGTGCAGGTGGCGTAGCTGATGGGYTGGCAGGTGCGCTCCCCATCCACCACGGCGCACCTCTCCCCGGACGAGCAGGAGGCCTCGCGACACGTCACCATGCCCAGAACTGTGTCGCAGACGCACAGGCGGCCACAAGCCTCGTCGGCCCAGAACTGCTGGCCTGGCTTGTAGTACCGGCCCTGATGAGAACAGCCGCACGTCTTAGCTGGCACACAGTCACCGGCGCTGAGGACATAACCTTTGTCACACACACAGGCCTCCACGCATACACCGTCGCACTTCGGCTGTTCCTCAGGGAATGGGCAGGACGGCTGGCAAGGGTTGGCACAGTCTTCGTAGTGGCTGTTGAGCTGACAGTTCATTGCTGGACGTAAATAAAAATGTTGGCAGGTGTTAATCTAAGGATAATGTAAATATTTAATTTGGAGCRGGGCAGTTTGTGAAATACTCACGACAGCCAAAAGTCTTCCTCCAGCCCTCGATTATCACTCCCTGCTCACGACACTGTTTACTGTACGAGGCCAGCGCCTGGCACAGCATTTTCTTGTCCCCTTTATTTAAACACATGTCATACACACAGCTGTTCATGAAGGCCTGAGGATCCAGTTTTCCAGTGCACTTCCCAAAAAGGTTACTGGTCTTGGCGGCCAAGGCCCCACAGAAAGCCTGGGTTTCGTACAGTTTCCTATCATTATCGTCGCAGGTCGGACAGTTTTTTTCACAGCTGTCCCAGCATGGAAAGTCCTTGTCTTGATCTGGTGTTTGCCAGGTCTTGGCCCATTCAATTACTGAGGAGACAGCTTTGCCAGCGGGATTCTGGAGTTCGTCGCCTGCRTTGCCATTGAAGTTGCCACACAGACCGCAGACGCTGCCATAGTAGCTGCTGGGAAGCTTAATGAGAAGATGCCAGTTGTAATCGTAYGAAACCACCAAGCCAAAATCTGTCACAAGCTCAGCGGTGGCTCCTTTTTGAAGCACAGATACTTGGCCATCACCCAGATATACGGGAAGATTCACCAGCTCCCCATTCACCTGAGAAGCACAGAAAAAATGTTTAAAAATTGCGCACACTGAAATAAGACAAAACTAGAGGCTGGAATCTTACCGTGACTTGACCAACTTGGCTCTTTCGAATGGTGACGGTGTTCCCGTACACAAGCACGTCAACCTCCCTGACGTAAGAAACGGCCGTATTTCCTCTGTTATCATTCCTCTCGGTGACAGAGAAAGGAACCAGACCACCCAGGTCCCCGCAGGTCTTTGAGATGACATACTTGCAGGTYCCCTGGAAGTCAAAGTTTAGACCATCGAACGTGTGGTAGTGGGGGTCACCCCAGGCCCAGCAGGTGCCTGTGTACTTCGGGGTGCACACAGCCTCACCCTTGTCTACACGGCATGTTTCTTGAATACGACAGTTGGCATCTTTGCAGGGGTCTGCAAAAGACGTTTTTAGAATTAAAGTATAAAAGACATTTCTGTTTATGAAATCAGTACGTATGGTGCAGCTTACCTGTGTTGTAGCACGCCCTAATTTCATTCTTGACCATGCATTTTGTGCTTGGAGGACAGGTGTGTTTTTCACAAGTGAGGCCTGTTGCTGGATTACAGGTGCACTTTGTGGCGCAATCGTCCTCGTATACAACTTCACCAGGCTGGTGACAAAAAGATTATAAAAGGTTACTATGCAGTAAGAGCAAAAATATTTATTACTACTACTATTTATTATTACTTGTATAATACGAAGAAATAAGTATGGCATGCCCTGTCTGTCATGGAATTAACATTGTATGGCAGCCCGTTTTGTCATAAAATTTGAAAATATATGAAATTGTTGTAATTAACAGTGTTTGGCAGGTTGTTGTATTACAAAAATATATGTAAACGGTAGGTTGTTGAATATGTATATTACAACAAGAAAGTATACAATATTTAGTTTTTGAATTTCCATTTTTAATTGCAAATCATTTGTTTTCTGTTAGGAAACATTTTTTGAACAAACTTTATGGGTAATGCTTTCTTTTATGGTACCCTTATTACCATGTAATTACAATGTAATTAAAAACATAATTAAAATGTAATTAATACCTTATTACCATGTAATTATGTGGTAATTAGGGTACAATTTTACTATGTAATTAATTGTCTGCGGTAATGTAGCACTTACCTTGTGACATATTACAATTCACTATGTAACATCTAAATAAGTAGTAAGTAATTTTGACAGTTTTAAAGTTACATTTTATTGAAATTAACCACTAACCCCAAAATTTCATTGCATTCATTTGGTTATAAATATAGTGTTGAGTTATAGTAATTTGATTGTAGTTACCCAATAAAGGTAGTTTTACTAACAGTTTTTCTTTTGTACCCTAATTATCACGTAATTACATGATAATGAGGTAGTAATTACATTAAATAAATTTTTTATTACCTTGTAATTACATGGTAATAAGGGTACCATAAAAGAAAGCATTACCAGTTTATGGCTCAAACCTAATTCCATACATGAGGAAGGCAGGCCAAACANAATTAATACCTTATTACCATGTAATTATGTGGTAATTAGGGTACAATTTTACTATGTAATTAATTGTCTGCGGTAATGTAGCACTTACCTTGTAACATATTACAATTCACTATGTAACATCTAAATAAGTAGTAGGTAATTTTGACAGTTTTAAAGTTACATTTTATTGAAATTAACCACTAACCCCAAAATTTAGTTGCATTCATTTGGTTATAAATATAGTGTTGAGTTACTATTGAATAGAATTGATTGTAGTTACCCAATAAAGGTAGTTTTACAGACAGTTTTTCTTTTGTACCCTAATTATCACGTAATTACATGATAATAAGGTAGTAATTACATTAAATAAATTTTTTATTACCTTGTAATTACATGGTAATAAGGGCACCATAAAAGAAAGCATTACCAGTTTATGGCTCAAACCTAATTCCATACATGAGGAAGGCAGGCCAAACATTAATAAAAATGTTGCATGGTAATGCACCACCATGGAAGAGATAAAAGTAATATGAAGAGCTGAACTGTACCTTATATGTTTTTCCTTTGTCATAGCATCCACATTCAGTTTCTTTGACGCATGTCTGACCGTTGAACAGGAAGCCTGCATCACATGCACAGCCTTCTGTGCAGCCTCCCGTKGGGCAGTCCACGATCTCAGTGAGGCCACGGCAGGAAGCAGAGCAGCTCTCAGCACACACATCATAATGACTGTTTGAGGGGCATTGCATGGCTATTGCACAAAAAATATAAACAGTGAGAAAGCTTTTTTTTTTACAGGAAATGTAAAAATATATTGATTAATATAAAACTTACGGCARAAAGATGGAGTCCTCCAGCTGATATCCACTCCTGCCATGTGACAGTTATAGGCATAAGCTGCTACACTGTCACAAAGCACATCTCCGTCTCCGTTGGAAGCGCASAGATCAAACACGCAGTCGTCAAAGTACGGCTGCGGGCTGAGCTTACTGTGACAGCCTGCGAAAGGACCTTTGGGCGCCGTCATAATGCCACAGTATGTGGGCTTGGAAAACACATCTTTGCGAGCTGGGTCACACTTCGGACAGTTGTCCCCCTCACAACCGTTTTCACACACCACGTTAGGAATGGTGACCTTCCAAGATGTGCCAAATTCGTTGACGTTGCTGGTGAGCTTATTGTTGGACATCTGGAAGTCATCTAGGTTGTTCCCGTTGAAGTTGCCGCACAGGCCGCAGACCTTTCCACGATAATTACCAGGCACGGTGACCGTCACGTGATAGACTAAGTCGTAGGTAACGATCAGGTCAAAATCTGTTCTGATAACCAAGTTTCTGCCCTCCTGATAAGCTTGAACTGCTCCCTCTTTAAGATTTAAAGGAAGGTTGTGGAACACTCCATTTACCTAAACAAAATAAAATAATTAAAAACCCATTCATGTAAATTACATCAAGGCAGGGATTTCATAGAGCTATTAAATTCTTAAAATAAGCATATGCTGTTTAAAAACCAGCATTGATTATTAACTACAGCTCCCATAATGAATGCTGTTTATGTCACCTACAAAATGACACTATTCCACCACTAGGTRGCGTTACACAGGGTTCAAAAGTAACCAGCAGCCAGTGAAAAGGCAGAGAAAGTGAGATTTTACAACGAGTTTTGCTGGTTGTCAACTACTTTTTAACCCAGCCACTTTTGTTGTGGCCCACTGCGGTACTGGGAATTTAGAATTTCTCACTTACAAGTTGTAAATTTAAAGTGTCCCGTGGGAAATCCCTGTTAGAAAATTTGAGAACTCTGATTACCCCACTCCAGAATTCAAGACAGCAGCTATTCACCACAACTTATCAGTGAGTAAAACTTTACTTTTACATTTAATAGTAGTTTTGTTTTTATTTCAAATTTAGTCCATTGTGCACATGGTACTTTTCATTCTTTAAAAGAGGATGTTAAAATGCTGTTTCTATGCAAAAAATACCAAGTAGAGCTCAGTTATCAGTGTGCATTGCCAATGCAATGCACACTATTGCGATTCGTTTCACATCCAAGTCATCTCAACTTTGCCATGCTTCTCCACCTGCATACTTTGTCCTAGAGCAGCCATTGTAATTTATATCTGTAAAGCHCCTGTGCCAAATGATGGCTATGCCTTTTGGTGCCTGTAAAACTTATAGTTTTTGAAATATTAATGTTTAATAAATTACAATGGGAGTCAATGGAGCCTTGTATTGGTCCAATACTGCCCCCTGCTGCATCTACACAATATGGTACTGCACCATAGTTTCATTATATTTAAACTCAGTAGTTCAGTGATTACAATATTAATATGACTGTATTTTGATGTTTTACTGTAATACTGTCTTTATGTTGTCCTATTGCTGTAATATATTGCACTTAAGTGTCAATAATTGCATTGGCAAGCTAAACTTTTTCTGTATACATACAATCCAAACCCTGGGATTATCCTCTGCCACATCTCCTATAGTCCCATGATGAGCACTGTGGGCTTTCATGCGGGAGATCAGGGTTCAAATTCAACTAACGCTACTTTAACAAAAATCTCTTCAAACTTCATATTGTCACACAATTACCTTCATTACAAACACTTGCTGACGTGACAGGCACAAGCTGGAATAGAAAACACATTTGAACTTGGTCAAAGTTCCTTCTGCAAGTCCAATGCTGCAGGCAAAGCCATGCTGCAATGACATGCTACATGGCAATGCACACTTGTTTTTACATCGTAAAAACCCATGTCTAGTTATTTATTAGTTGTGCTCAGAGGAATGTGACTTTTCATGTTTTTGGTCAAAAGTAAACATGAAACTTCTAAGTTAATTACAACTGGAACTTTGTGGGTCACAATAATGCTCACGTGGCCCTCTGTGAAAATGAGTTTTACATCCCTGATGTAAACATTCTTTTACCAAAAGTTGCCACTCACCAGCACTCCTTGCATTTTTGTTCTCAGGATTAGAGTGAAGCCGTAGGCCTCCACTGCAACCAGCCTGGTGACTGAAACTTTTTTCTTTCCTCTCATTTGGTCCCACTGCACATTCTCCACCTGAACAGAGAACGCCTCCAGGTGGGTGCCTTCCAGCCCGCAGCTTTTAGACAGAGTGTACGTGCACGTGCCCTGGAAGTCAAATTTCTGCCCATCAAATGAGAGGTAGTGGGGGTCACCGGAAGCCTGGCACAACCCTTTACCAACAGGGTAACATTTCTGGATTCCATTTTCTAGCTTGCACTTCTCGTTAGGGCCACATGTGAACTTCTTACAATCAACCTGAGGAAATATAAATTAAAATAAAAAGCACAAGGGTTAGGGAAATAGTTTTTTCTCCATTTATACTTTTTTATACAGAAGAGGATTAGAGCCACAGAGCAAAAATGTATAAATGAATAAAATACAAAAAATTCCTGAAACAGAATTCTGACTAATCTCAGTAATCAGACTTCTTTTTTTCATATTTCTGACTTTTTCTCACAATTTTAAGAATAAAATCTCATGTTTTTTCTCAGAATTCCAACATTTTTTTCTAAAATAAGTAAAATGTCAGAAATCTGACTTTTCTCGGAATTTTAGGATTTAGGTTTGACTTTTATCTCAGAATTTTGAAAAAAAAAAATCAGAAATCAGAAGTTTTCTCTCATGATTCTTAGAATAAAGTCAGAATTCTTACTATTTTTTTAGAATTCTGACTTTGATCCTTTTTCTAAGAATTCTTAGAAAAAAGTTCAGAATTGTAAAGTATATTTGAATTTGAATTTAATTGAAATTTCTCAGAATTCTGGTCTGTGGCTCTTTTCCTTTTCTGTACATTTAACATTATTATTATTTTTTTTTACATTTTAACTGTTTACCTGTCCGTCCTGTGTGCACTTGCACTCGTCCTGGCACTGCCCGCTGGGATAAAACACTTCACCGACGCGGTAGTAGCGGTTGTTGTAGATGCAGCCGCACTGTGAGAAGGGCACGCAGAGATCCCCGCTGAGAATAAAACCTTCATCGCAGGCACAGCCCTCCCCACACGAAGTCTGACAGCCCTCAGAAGGAGCTAGATTGTTGCAGGTTGCAGGACAAGCAGTTGCACAAACTTCGTAGTGGCTGTTAATGGGACATTTCACAGCTGCACACAAGGGACAAAATTCAATAAATCATTTTCTTTACAAGCAAAAACGATGAATACACTGTAGAGCAGGGGTTCTCAAACCTTTTGGGTCTGGGAACCCCTTACAATGACGAAAAAAATTCCATGGACCCCCTCATAAACCCCATGCTGTTTTAAAAGATAATTTATTTTCGTTTCAGCCCCTAAATGCCATGGGAATATATATTTTTATTTAGTTTATTATGTTTGTTTTATTATTTCGTTGTTCTTCATGCATTTTTAAAAATAAAACCAAATTAACAATTTAGTGAATTTTTTTGAGGACCCCCAAGATACYTYTCAYGGAYCCCTGGGGGTCCTGGGACCCCAGTTTGAGAACCTCTGCTATAGAGGATGTGTGTTAATTAACTGATTACAGTTTGTTTATTGTGTTATCCTATAGGAGTATTTGAAGTAAAACCATGACTCACCACAGAACTGACTGGTTCTCCAGCTGTACACCGTGGCCCCCGCTCCTTGACAGGCAGATGTGTATGACGTAATCGCCTGACACAGCACATCCTTCCTGCCCTTATACAGGCACACGTCATAAACGCAGTCATCAAAATAACCAGATGGATTGATCTTGGCATGGCACTCACGGAAAGGMCCCTTGGGGTCGCTGATCATGCCACAGAAATCGTTCTTTTCGTACTGAACCTTTTCGTTGATGTCACAGCTGGGACACACCCCTTTACAGCCTTCAACACAGCCCGGGATCTCTGCCACCCGCCAGCTGGTCCCAAACTCTGCCGGTTTGACAGGTTTGTCACCATTCTTTGGGATCAAGTCATCCTGGGGTACACCGTTGTAGTTACCACAGAGGCCACACACTGCTCCCTTGTAGCTGCTTGGCAGTGTCACGAACACGGCGCTATCCCAGTTGAAAGTGACTTTCAGGCCAAAGTCTGTGGTGACGACGGCGTACCATCCACTCTTATACACAGATATCTGACCCTCGTTGAGGGTGACAGGCAGATTGACGAGCTCATCGTTTACCTAAAGGAGGAAACTCAGTGGCTGTCACAAAGCAGAATTTAAATCACGATGAAAAGTGTTATGAATGTCTTACCAAAATCGAGCCTTTGTACGTCTTTGTTATGACRATGCTAACGGAGTACACCTTGATCTCTACTAGTTTAGTGAAGGCCACCACCTTGTTGGCCCGGTTCTCATTCTGAACCCGGACTTCAAAGGGCACTAGCTCTGGGTCCTTAGAGCAGAGTGCGGCAAGCTGGTACACACATGTGCCCTGGAAGTCAAACTTGTTCTGGTCAAAGGTCACGTAATGGGGGTCACCTGTGGCCTGGCAGGTACTGAACGATACTGATTGGCATTTTCTGATGCCGTTGACCACCTTGCATTGCTCACTTGCCCCACAGCCTTTTTTCTGGCAGTCCACTCGTCTGCTGCCGGGGACACACTTACACCACTGCTCACAGTTCTGGTCCCCCCAGAATGTCTCTCCCGCAGGAATGTAGTGACCCTGGTAGGTGCAACCACAGTCTGCAGCGGGCACACACTTGTCTCCGCTTAAAACAAAGCCTTTGTTACAGGTGCAGGTCTCCACACAGGGGCGATTGCATTTYGAGGGGGCATTAGGGTCAGAACAAGTGGCAGGGCAGGCGTTTCCACAGAGCTCATAGAAACTGTTGGTTGGACATTGAAAAGCTGGAGGAAGAATAAAATAAACTGTGAAGCTTTCTTAAATGAATGACATTTACATGATTTGATTTAGTGCATGTGTCAAACTCAAGGCCAATGGGCCAAATGTGGCTCGCCGCTGCATTTTATACGTCCCAGGAGAGCTTCAAAGATGTATTAATATCTTAAAATGAGCCTGCGCTGCTTTAAAGCCAGCATCAGCCATAAACTACATTTTCTATTGTGTGTTGTTTTACTCATGAAATGATGACATTCCACCACTAGGTGGAGGTGCACAGGATTCAAAAGTAGCTGACAAATTCGACAWGAAAAATCTCCATTTCACTGCATTTTTGCCAGATACTTTTGCTGCATTACAGTTGTACTGGGAAGTGGGAACTTCCCATTTTAAGGATGAACATTTAAATTGGAATGCCCCTCCAGTGGGAATTCACTGTCATAAAATGGGAGCAACTCCAACTCAAAATTTAAGATGGCTGCTACTCACCACAACTTAACAGTAAATAAAACTCTCTTACTTCTACTTTTAATAGTACTTTTGTAGTAGTTATTTGACATTTAGTCCGATGTACATAGTATTTCTCAGTGATTATATAAGGATGTGTACAAATACTGTTTCTATACACGAAATGCCTCATACAGCCCAGTTACTGTTTGTCAGCAGTGCTCAGCTGTAGCAACCAGATGGGGAACATGCCATTTTTTGTTTAGTCAAAGTTAAACACTAAATGTCAGAGATAATTATAACTGGCCCTTTGAGGGCCACCACAATACTCATGTGGCCCTTGGTGAAAATGAGTTTGACAACCCTGAATTAGTAACTGTTACTTACGGCATTTTGCCAGCTTCCTCCAGTCTTGAATCTGGACCCCAGCGTCCTGACAGGCGTCGGTGTAAGCCTCCAGGGCCTTGCAAAGAAACTGTCTAAGACCATCTCCCATGCACAGGTCATATTTACAGTTCTCCAGGTATGCTTGTGGCTCAACAACTGGATGACATTTGCTGAATGGACCGTTTGCTTTTGTGATGAGCCCACAAAAGGATTCATCCTCATACTTCTTCATCAAATCACTATTACAGCTGTCACACCCACCCACACAGTCATCTCTGCACTGAGGATCAGACCCCACGCCTGGCACCTTCCAGCTGCCCCCGAAGGCCACAACCCCTCCTGCCTGAGTTCCAGAAGGTGTGGCAAAATCATCACTGGGGTTGCCGTTGAAGTTCCCACAGAGTCCACAGGTCTTACCGGCATAACTGTCAGACAGGGCAACCACGAGATTGTGATCCCAGTCGTAACGTACCGTGAGACCAAAGCTTGTCTCTATAACTGCAGAGCGACCACACTGATACATGTTTATTTTGCCGTTGTTTAAAACGATTGGCAAACTCCACAAACTATTGTCAACCTGCGGAAATAAAAACATGAAATATTTTAAGTTGTTAAACAAATAAGGAAAACTAGAAATATAGTGAGTTTTAGTGTATGCTGAACACTTACTCTCACTCGACCCTGCTCAGACCTGACCACTGTAATTGTGACGTCGTAAACCTTTACGATGACCTGGCCAACGTACGACACTCTGCGACTGCCTCTGTTTTCATTCAGAGCTAGGACTTCGAAGGCTGGAAGACGGTCATCTCCACAGTTTTTAGCGATGGTGTAAGCACAGGTGCCCATAAAGTCAAATCTTTTTCCATCAAAGGTGCGATAGTGAGGATCCCCCATGGCCCAGCAGGTGCCAAACTTTGTTTTCACAGGTTTGGAGACACAGGAGGGATACCCACCATCCATTTCACACACCTCATTAGGACTGCAGGTGATACTGCTGCAGGACAGAGATCCACTTGCTGGCAAAACAATGTACAGTTAACGTCCACCATAAAGGGCTTTATTTAAATGAAATATTTGTGTTGAGGGACTGCACATCCTACCTTGCTGTATACAGTGTCCTGCAGCACCATAGCCATTCATCTGACTGATCCCTACGCTGTAGAGACCAAAGCTGGAACCAGAGCTGGACACAGTGTGACCACTGCTGCCGGGGACTTGTTTGTAGGACATTTCGGCCCAGGAGAAATCTGTCCCTGCAATGTTTTTCCACTCAACGTCTTTTGGCAGATTTCCGCTATCTAAACGAAGCGTACCAGTGACACTGGTTTTTGCCACAATCAGAGCTTTGTTATCAAAGCCGTCGATACCGCCCAGTGAGTAGGAAAAGCAGAAGCGGTCTGTGGGTGTGATGGTCAGTAGAAATGGGTCATAGTATTGCAAAAAGCCATCACTGGCGCCATTGAAGAGCAGGAGGACCTGGATGCCATGATCAGCCTGAATAAACAAGGTTTCAGGGGTGAGGTAGTTGATGTCCTTTACCTCCCCCCTGGAAATACTGAAATCATATTTTCGGCTGCCCTGATTGACAGTGACCCGGGTGGGCTGGGAGGCCATGAGGTACACAGTATCATACTTCTTCTGGAAGCTCAGTGGGGGCACGATGAAGCTGGATCCCCAGTTGCTCGCCGGCAGGAGCTGCTCATAAACGTGGTTGCACTTGGAGAAGCGCCACGTGCACGTGTGGCCAGTGAACACCGTGATGGGAAGCTTGGAGGAAACTCTGCTCCCAGACAGGTCGTACTTGCTCTGGAGTTGCACGCTCTCATACGGCTGCAGATCAATTTCCAGTTTGCTGCCTTTTCCGTAAACTCGACCCTGGAACTCAATAGACCCCTCTGGGAAGACCTCTACCTTGTTGCTGTCTTTTCCATTGACCACAGCAAACTCTTTATTGGAGCCAAAGGGGGTTCCGGGAGGAGTGATAACGAAGTATTCTGTACCCCACTCTGTGGTTGGATACACCACGGAGGTGTCTGTCGTGTAAAGCTTGTAGCTAAAGGATGTCACGGACACATCTGCTGATGCTTCAATGCGCACGGTGTTGGGAGACTTTGTGCTGTCGTACATTTCAACTTCAGTCGGGACACTGACGGTGGTCCCTTCGCCAGCCTTCAGCGTCTTCTCCACTTTAAACTTCAAGGAAGGTACCTGTACGGTCACTTTTGTATTGGCTTGGACAGCTGTGATGTACACCTGGAAACTAGGAGTATCATAGCGCGGCGCATAGTTCTCCATAAACGACACGGCAAACTCCCTTCCTACCCAGCCAGCGCCAGATGGACCTGAGAGACAAGAAGTGAAAAATGGGACATTCACAAAAAAAGGTTTTGTTTAAGGGTACATAAAATAATTTCTACAATTGAGCTTCACACATTTTGAGAATGCTAAAATTATGCAGGAAACAAGAAAAGAAAGGCACCATTTGTGTCAAGACGATTAAAGGATTCACAAACAGGCAATAAAAAATGTGCAAGGCTTCTTGGATGGCACAAAACAAAATGACAAAAAATGATGAGACTTCCGTTTCAAAAGAAAATAAATTCTAGTTTATACTAATTAGATTGCTCACCCTTTTAAAAGTCTGTTGCACTCAGTRAGCCACATGCAAAATTCAGTAGCTAGACTGTGGAAGAACTCAATTTTTTGAAAAAGTGCTTCTGCTTAGAATACTAATTTAACTTTTCAATTTTAATAATGTCAATTGAATGCAAGGTAAAGTAAAAAAAGTATGTTCAGATGATTTTTAATGATTCAAATTCCATTTTTTTTCATTCTCACAAGTGCCTCTTAACACATAAACAAATTAGATTACAATTGAATACATTTGTGACCCAACTGAGGATGAAGTATTTTTTGGTCAAAATGACATCGGCTCTATTTTTAAGCTGCATTTCAATACCTGGATTATCCTGATATCATGAGCGGTTCCAGAAATTTGCCATGATTCGTCTTCCTAATCAGAATAACTCATTGATATTTGGTATGAACCCTATTTTTTAGGTCATTCTATTGAGGATTTTTTGAAATGTCATTTTAAAGAGGAAACAAACAAACAAACAAACAAAAAAGACATTAGGATTTACCAGCTGGGAAGAAAAAAATGCTGGGAAAAAGACAAATTTAAGGATTTTCTGCTCAAAATCATGTTTTTATGTAGCTACTGCTCAAAAAAGGACACCAAATTTTTTGAAGATTCTTTCAGATACTTCATTTAAATGACCTGTAGATATGTATTTATTGTATTTATTGTTGCAACATTTTAACCAACGCAKTTCTCCACATACCACTTTTTGACTTAATCTTTGTTTTGATGTGACGACGGGTCACATTTTTATAATCAACTCACTTCCACAGTTGCAAAACTACAGATTTGAAAACAGTAAAACTTTACTTACGACCCAGGAATGCCCCCAACACACAGAACAGCAACAGGTTCCCCATGGCTGTATAAAAATAAAATAAAAAATAAAAAAGCAGAGTTAAAATTTCAATTATTTTGTAAATATACATTAAATTATGCAAATGCAAGAATTTAATAAGTGTGCAAAGATTCAAACAAATATTCGTACCTATTAGGTGGTTGTATGAAAATCTGTTAGACGTTCTTTCCTTTTAAATATATTCATGAGCAAAAAAAAAAAAAAAAAAAGCACCAACCAGTCAATCAGTTTGGGGAAAACAGCCAATAATACCCTTCCTCTTAAACAAATACAGGCAGAATAAATTTGAGGTCCTGCTGCATGTTGACTTAGGTGTGAGCCTTAATACAAACTACATACCTGYGATCAAACATTTATGATTTACTTTAAGTTAGCACACCCTGGAACTAATACAACATGTACGTGTCTGTTATTGTTGGGAAGTGCTGCATCACCTGTTACAAATAAAAATGTCTGGTTCATTTAAAGTAAGTATTCAACCAGAACTTGTTTTACTGCTCTTTAAAGATATACAGTATATATTCCTTAAGGTTTACCACCTGTCAGATACTGATCTGATAATTTAATTTCATTTAATATTTTGGTATTACCAAATATTATCCAAAGTAGACTGGAAAATAAGAATGAGAGCACAAGTTAGTTTAGCTTATTTCAAACATGTGTACAAAACAAAACAAAACAAAAAGATAAAAAGTGATAACAAAATTAACATATTTGAAAAGGAATGGGAAGAAGTAAATGGACTGTACTTATGTGGCGCTTTTCTATCCATCCAGGATACTCAAAGTGCTTCACACTACAATCTGTGTCCTCATTTACCCCTTCACACAGCACATTCACACAGCTAACATGTACAATCATCTATGGAGACTAATCAGTGCCAATCACATTCGTACACTGATGGRACACACRTCASAGRCATTAGGGCTGAAGTGTCTTGCACGGGGGATCAAACTGGCAACCTTCTGGTTTCAGGATGACTCCCCTAACTACTCTGCCACAGCCACCCCAAAGTAAAAAAAACATTTAATCCCACCCTTCTCCGAAGCTTATTAACAAAAAATAATTGTAATTTAGAATAAGGAAAAAGAAGAATTTACTATTTCATAAAGACTAAAACAACAATCTGTTTACCTAGAATTTTATATAATACCAGAATATATTCATAAACGTAAATGTATATCTACATGCGTGTATATGCAAACACACATAAATGTACGCACATACTGTATATACACAGCCCCAAACATCTCCATATATTGAAAAAAATCATACACACTCAGCATCCCTATATCTTTTGTAAATAACATTTTTATAGCTCTCCTTAATTTATTATTAATGTTTGGACACTCCTTAAGTTCAACACCCAGACTGTTCCACAGTATTACTCGACCAACAGAAATACACAACCCTTTGTGAGTTGTATGAACAATCCTTGATTTAAAGTTAAACTGACCCCTTAAAATGATAACTCCCCTCACCTTCAATAAATAATTTCTGAATATTGCCTGGTAACATTTTTTTCTACTTTAAATGTTATTTGTGCTGTTTGTACCTCTACAAGATCTGTAAATTTTAGTAGTTTTGACAAAAATAATGAGTTGGTATGATCCCTACATCCAGCCCCATGAATTATCCTTATTGCTCTCTTTTGCAAAATGAATAATGGTTGTAT